TCTGCTTCACCTTCGCTGTTGTTGGACACTCTAAATGAACTGAAGAAGGACAATGAGGCCATACATGAATGTTTGGATAAACAAGATGAAACCAACAAGGAAACCAGGTCTTGGATGCTGAAACAAGAGGATTCCTAAAATGAAATCAAGAATCTTCTGCTTTCCCTTGTTTCTCGTCGCTCTTAGATTTTATTTCTAAATTTTTTTCTTGTTGTTTTTTGTTTTGTCACTCTGTTTTCTTTTGAATCTTCAATATATGACAATTTTTTATTTTTATTTTACTTTTTGATTATGACAAAAAAGGGAGAGAAAATAAGATTTTGATCTGATCCATGAAAACAGTTATGGGACTAAGTCTCAAACATTTCTAACGAAATACAAAGTTTTTTTCCTTCTGTTTAAGAGATATGCAGGAACTCAAGAAACACTGAAAGACTAAGCTTTGAATATCATCAAGAAAAGAATTGCTAAAGAAACTCTGAAAGAAAAAGTCTAAAAGCTCTGAAGAACAAATCTCAGAAAGTTTCCCTTATGTTTTTAAACTCTTTAATTATTCTTTATTTCAGAAGAAGAAATATCAATCTCAGGGGGAGATTATCTATCTCAGGGAGAGATCCTCATACTTGCACAAATTTTTTTAATCAAAATCTGAATTGTTTTGTCATCATCAAAAAAGGGGAGATTGTTAGAACAAAGTTTGGTTCTAATCATATCTTAGAGTTTTGATGATAACAATGAAATAAATTTTATGATATATATTTTATACTATGACTTGTATGTTTTCTAAATTCAGATGAAGTTATGACTTACGCATCTTAGAAAGAAACAACATTATATGCAAGTATAAAGCAAACTCAGAAGGAAGCACTCCAAAGCAAACTCTGATGAAGAGAAATCCTAAGAAACCTCTAATAAAGCTAGTTGAAGCAAATATCTAATAGAAATAAGCTGAAAGCAACATCTGATAATCGAAAGATCAAGCAAACTCTGATGAACACATATTGAAGAATACTCTGATAGAAGAAAAGATCAAGTAAACTCTAAAATGGAAACGCTGCAAGCAAACACTTCAACTTCCAGAGACAAGCTCTGATAGTACTGTTGGTTATTAAATGCTAAGACGGCTAACGCACTCAAGTGTACTACGCGCACGAGCATTAGAAACGTAAAGACCAAGCCTACTCGCTACACGCAACACGCATCATTGCAAACACGCTTCATTAAATGCATGCATTATCATCAAGGTATTAACGGTCAAGAATTGGAAGCTATATATAGAATAGATTTTATTTCAAAGAAAGGTTACTGACTTACGTGAAGTATACTTACGCTCACTGTTTTCATACTTGTAAACTAATACTGTATAGTGGGTAGATCATAAGTATTGCACAAGAAAAAGGAAAAAATTATTCAACCCCCCCTTCTAAGTGTTTTCTCACCCTTCAATTTTCTCAAGATTTCTCTCACAAGATGTCCATTGGCTCAAGAAGGCACAAGGATGGATCAACTCAAGACACCTCATCAAGCACTGATACATCAAATTAGGGTTTAAGTTTTGCACAAGTAGAATTGGATTTTTAAGGCCCCATATGACTTTCATGGATCATTTTAGACTCTCAAGATTGCTCATGTAAAGTTTCAATCTTTGGATCACATTTTTGCTTAGTCAATTGATCAGTTGACCTAAAATCAATTATATTGGGCAAAAAGTCAACTGTGGTCAATTTACAGTCAAACTTCATAATTTTTGATCCATATCAATATTTTGAACTCATATATGTCAATTGATCAAGTTTGGATCATAATTCCTCAAGAAATTTAATCAGATCACCAAAAGGGCAAAATAGTCAAAATTAGAGTTTTGACTAAGAAGGTTCATTTTTGACTTTTGACCAAATACGTGACTTACTGGTTTGAGACATGATATCAAGGATTAAAATGCATTATCTTGACATAATGGCATGGTTAAAAACACTTCTCAAGATCAATGAATTGATAGTTGAAATTTGGTTAACTAATGAAAAAGTCAATTGTACACTGAAAAGTCAAACTTTGACTTTTTGATCAAAATCAAGTTTCAAAAATCATATTTCATCAAGACATGTCAAAATATGAAGATTATTCATCAAGAAATCAAAAAGTCAAAATTATCTTTGAAAAGTCAAAATTCTAAGACTTGGAAATTTTTCTAAGTGTTAGAAAGTTAACTTTTTCCATGACTTTGTGCCAAATTTTCACGATGATGCAAGATGATTTCAGGAAAACTTCCAACATGAAAGTTGTAGATCTCAATGAGATCTAAAACATTGTAGGTCAGGACTTTTTCTAGAAATACTTGGATTTTAAGTTATCAATTCATAAAGTCATGGCATTTTTGATTAAACACTTGGAGAAATTTTCAGCAGGTTTGGTCAGGTTTTTATCCCAACTTCTTGGCCTGTTTTCATTAAGTTCCAGTTTGATTTAATAAAAGTGAAAAAAATTAAAGTTGTAGAGGATGTTTCAAGCTTTCCAAAACATACAAGAGGATGAATTTATCATACTTGAGCTAAGAGATTCAAGGATCTGAAGTTGGGCATTCATTCTTGATTTACAAGGCAAATTTGTGAAGAACACTTGATTCAATCTTCAAGCATAATGTACAAATCCCACTTTGCAGGCTTCTAACTTACATTTCACTCCATAATTGGATTATTACACAAATGATTGAACTATAATCCAAGTGTTTGAACCATTATCTAATTGATCATTATATTTTTGGAAGAAAGTTCACACTTCCATTTTAGAAAAGTGGCTTTAATCACAAAGTCCACTCTCCTTGAGCATTGGACCCGTTCTTTCTGCACAAACTTCATATACAAGGTCAAAAGAAAGCATGTTAAAAGTTCAACCACTCTACAATAACATGGTACAAGCTTTGGAAAGACGTTTGTCACTTTGCTTCAAAAACAAGTAAAGTTACCAAAATATGGAAATTCAAATTCTGAGTTGTTGTAACTCTCAAAACCTCTTGCCTATAAATACACACACTATTTGCAACATGAAATAGAGATTATAAGCATAAAAACACCCTCAAACTTCCTCAAGCCATAAATTTCACAAAACCTCCATCTTTGTGTCATTGCTGATTTTGAATACCCAACTCATTATTCCCTCGTGCGTTTATTGAACAAACCATTCACATACATCATATAGACAACAACTCAAACTCAAGAACAACTTCTGTAACATCTCTATTTCTCCAAGCTCAAGAATACTCAAGGGAACAACTCAAGCTCAAAACAAAAATTCCATCTTCAAGGTAAGTCTCCTTGGCTTTAAACCCTTCATTTCAAGCATCATTAGTTGATTCATCTTTGAAGATAAAATGTAATAACCATTCCCCTTGAAGCTAACTTTTGTTTTGTCTTCCATTCTTGTCATTTATGTGTTGAGAACTAACCCCTGCGTGCATCAAAACAATGTTGGAGTGAAAAAATTATAGTATGAGTCGACACATACCTGTATGAGTTGATATATCTTAGTGAAAAAACAAGCTATGAGTCGACACAAAGCATCATGAGTTGACACATACTGCTATAACAGGCACAAAACAGAAAGAAAAATGGCTTATGAGTCGATACAAAACACGTATGAGTCGACACATACAGGGAATGAGTCGACGCATACCCTTATGCATCGACTCATACTGAGTTGATTTGGACTTACAAGAGCAGGGAAAATTTATATGTCGATGCAAAAGAGCATGTGTCGACACATAATGTTTAAAAATGCAATTTTTCTTCTTCTTTTACACTATTTTTACATTTCCTTTATATTTTCTTCATTGCTATTCAATATGGTTGTAATATTTAGACTTTTACTTCATCCCCATTTATAAATTGTACACCCATCCCCCTAATGATGTAATAGCGTAGGATTTTAATTTCCGTAAATTTACCGCTTTCAAACATAAATGCTAGTAACCAGGGTGTGTATGGAAAGATAAAATCAACCGTTAGAAAATCCTAATCTCAAATACAAAAAATGCATGAAATCAACACACTCGCACATGTGTACCTCTAGGGTAATCCACATTTGTTGCCTTGAGAAAATGATCATGTTATGCATGTGAGACACCTTAGCAAAAACAAACAAAATACAAGATCATAGTCCCTCGATGACGCTTCGTATGTTGCCTTACAAATGATCTTAGTCCCTTAAGAAAAACACTAAGGTATCTCACAATATTGCATCTTATGACTATACGATGACTCACGTCCGTCCCCTTACATTCAAAGATAGAGCTTCTTACCAATCAATGGTAAGATAATAATGTCAAAGGAAGAGAGAAATGAACAAAAGACTTTTGAGTAGGTAGAACGTTCTTAGTTGCGTGCTCACAATCTATCTTCAAAACAAACATCTTTTCAAACACACCAAACACTTTCAAAAAACATGAAATATTTTCAAAAGTCTAACACTTTGTATGCATTCTTATAGAGACGAAAATCATTACAAAGTTTGCCTAAACGAAGACACTTTTCAAAAATACTTTCAAAACTCACCACAAACACATTTCAAACAAAGCAAATTTCAAAAAAGTGATCTAGCAAGCAACTAAGAGTCCATAGATAACTATGGATGAAAATGGTGCTAACACCTCCCCTTTTATAATTTTTTATTTTAATATTTATTGATGTTTTTTTTTCTTCTAATTTTGTTGTAGATTCTATTATATATTTTTATATTAAATTTAAAACCATTTCATTTTGATTTTGTTTGAAAAATTCATGTATATTTTTAATCACTTGCTAAAACTGTAATGGTTATAAAAATATTTGAAATGTTTTAAATATATTTTAGAAAGATCATTTGAAAATAGATTTAAATAAGATAGCCTAAAATATTGAGAAAGTAAAAGTAAAAAAACAAAAATTAAAAGGAAAATTTGGTTTTGCAATTGCAGAGTGTGCAAAAGAAGAAGAAGGGTTTGCGAGAAGCATCGCATTGCATTCACAATGGTTCCTTCGATTTCCATATTCTTGTTATCTTTCTCTTCTCTCTTTCTTCTCCGTAATTCTCTTCCGGTGAACGATCACTTCACCTCTCAGATCAACCAAATCAATCTCAAAATCGCTCACTTAGGTAATCAAACAAACAATACTCTTCTTCATATTCTATCATTGAATTTCACTTTGGTGAGTTACTTGAATGCAGAATCGGTTCTTGAAGAAACGAATCAAAAGCTAATCGAAAGGGATTTGTATATACAAGAGTCTGAAAGGCGAATGAATGACTTGGCGGACAAAATTCAGCATCTCAATTCCACTCTCTCTTCATTGAAGGTTTCTCGCTAATTCTTAACCTAATTCCACTGTTTTCACTTGTTATTTCTAGTATAATTAATTTAAGTAATTGATGTGAATTATTATTTTATTTTTTACTAAAATTGATTGTATTTGAGAACAATGTATTGAGATCTACCTTGCAGGATGATTCATTGCATGCCGAGACACGACTTAAATCTCTCGAGGAAGAGGTATTTGAATTCACGGTTATATAACAGTGAATTGTTTATTTTCGGGATTTGATTGAAAGTTCAACTGATTTGAGGAATAGGTGTGGAAATGCATAGGTACAACTTCTTTGGTCGGCTTTGAGAAAGAACAACTTTGATCTGCATATTTTGAAATCTAAAGCGGAAGATAGTGACAAGAGACTGGAAGAAATTACTTCAAGAGTTGAAACGGTTTCTACATTATCTATCTTATCATTTTCTTTATATATGAACTGAATTTTTTTGTTCTACACATTTTTGTTATAGTGGTTACTGTCGTATTCTATTGGTCCTTTTGTGTGTTTTAGAAATGAATTTATGTATTGTATCATTTTCTGTGGGGGGTTTTATGTCACATATTGTTGGTAATCTGTTCTGAGTATAAGTCGTCGAGCCTAAAGAGTGTATGTGTATGGTAAGGCGAAATAGTGATTTGTGCTATAATTTAACTATGATGTTGATTAAAGAGAGTTTTGTAACTCGACCTTTCCTAGCTAACCAACAACTGATAAGCACCGATGGGCATGTGTATCAAATGGAAGAACAAGTATTCATGTAGCAATAAATAATACTCCTGTTTAGAAGTATATATAGTCTGTTCTGATCTAGTAATTACTATATTATAGCTCACAAAGGTTTCAGCTGATGTAGATGTCCACTGTGAATTTGTTTATTTTATATGCAATTCAACATTTTTTTTTCTACTCATTAATTTGAGCCTTGGTTTAGATAGTTCATAGATCCTTTCATTAGTTGATGTTATTCGTTTTTTTTGACATTCAGATTAGTGGCATTATGAACGAACAGTGGATTCAAGTTCAGCATCTTGAGCAGGCTCTTCACATTGCCAAAGTATGTAAAGTTTATCCTCTTAAATAAGTTTTTCGGAAACCTTAACAAGTTTACATTTGTGTTTTTTGTGCTTGTCATTTACTTTCTTTTTATGCAAAGAGGGCTCTAAAGGCTCAAAGGAAAGCGAGCTTAGCAAGATGCACATTCTTCAAGGTATTTTAATTATTCCGTTTGAAAACATTTATATATGCCATGATTCATAATTTCTCATGCTCTTTTCATATATTTGTTTGTTCCATAGTTTATCAACAGCCTCCATGATGATCTTCGGGCACTGGAATCATTTCTGTTTGGTGAAAGGCCTATAGTAGGGTCATTCATTTCAAGAGCTATGGATCACTTGAAGAGATGCTACTCGATGACCAAAAAGTATCACCATCAGGTCTGTGCATGATAATATATTTGTTTTTGGTTAATATTTGATGGACATCTGTGAAAGAAAAGATTGCTAAGATCTGATGGGTCATTCATCTTAATTGTATGTGTAGCTTCAAAGTTCCATAAAAGACCTTATGAAGAGAAATGAATTGACTGCATCTCTTGCAAATGATGAATTAGTTTTCATTCTGGTAAGCTTAAAGCTTTTGGTTAACTTGTCAAATCTAAATTTTTTAGATTGCTAATATTTGAATGTTCTTTATAAACTTGTGGTATTGTTCTTTAATCATACATATATGTTTTCAGGCATCTGCTATAATCACCTTTCCGTTAATGAGTGCCTGGATGTTGTTTTCATCTTAAACCATATTTGCTGGGGACGCCAAGTTTTTTTTTCCGACTGGAAGATGTCTTCGTACTGTTTCTACAGTAACTGACATTTGCGACTCTCTTCAAACACTCATGCCCAAAGATCACACATTTGTTTCTCACTTCTTAGTGATGATGGACAAATGTAGTTTTGATCTTGTCCAATAGCAGTAGCTGAGAATATTTCTTAGTGTGAATTTTGATATCATTTTGTCATGGATTCAAACTTCTGCCTTGTATATGTCTCGCCGGATATATACTAAAAGCACGCTACTAGGCCTTAGCACTAAAATGGTATGACATGGAGACAGAAAAAGAAGAGTTTAAAAACTAGGTACTTGTAGTGTAAATTTTTCATACATACATCAAATCATATTTTATCATGACATCTTTACAAATATCTTAGTTGTGATTGCACTTTTATGTAAAACTCTTCACACTTACAGCACAGATATTGATGACTGTATTACTTCAAATATTTTAACAAAATGATTATATTTAGTTATGAAGAATGGTAATTTAAATGATATTTGAACCTGAATAGATTGCTTGAGTTTGAGGTTGTGAGTTCAACTCTTGCCGCCGTTGTGAGAATATCCTTGGTGGTTAATTTGTAGATACTTCTATATAAGTATTCTTTGAGTCTTGAGACATCGGAGTTCAACTCACCTAAATTAAAAAAACAAAAAAAACTGCAATATCTAAGTTGATAGTTTATTTGGGGCCAACTTGTTGGGATGATCCAAGTCCTTATGATGCATTAGCTTGCCTATTTTGATAATTAAAATATGATACTCGTAGGTAAAATTATACTTCATTGGAACAACATTTACATGGTATTCCTCTCTTCTATTGAATTTGATACACAATTGGGAAAACAATGAAGGTTATTCCATAAAAAACTTTTTTTTGGACTCAGTCTGAAGTTACAGTAGTTAATTTTATGAATTTGAAACAACAAGTGGATTGATTAGGTAATGAGTTTTGTTCTGGGCCGGGCTGATACTTGATCCACAGATGGGCAGGTCCAATCCAGCGTCATGGCCCAATAGTTTCAGGCCCAAGTCAGATAGTTGTTGGGGATTTTTCCCACGTGTCCATTAAGGAATGTGGTCAACAGTCACATCAATCACCACTTGTCCTCCGAAAATAATGGGTCCACTGCTCTTATATTTTTGGAGCGTTTTACTAAGGAGGAGGTCACGTGTTGGATCCCATTATCCACATAACCCTGACAGTCCTTGTTATTGGACGCAAATCACTTGGTCCAATACATGAATTTTGGCCCAGCGCTGAGGGACTATAAATACCCTCTCTTATGAGAGTCAAATATTTATTCATTCAACCTCACTTCTATTACTTGTACTCTAATTATCTATACTCTTATTTTGAGATTGAAGTACCTTGCAGATATACCCCATTCACTTCAACAACCGTCTCATTTAAGTTCATGGACCATCGACGATTCCTTTTAATCAGGTACATCAAGTTTGTAAAGATATTTTTCGAAAATATTATGTTTAATTGCCTGATGTTTAGTAGACCTCAACGACTATTAGTGGCATGCATCCCTAGTCGAGGGAGGAATTGATAAGAAAAACATTCAATGATTTGAATTAATTGACCTTAAAAGTAGTGTGCATTGAACAATCCATTTAAAATAAATAGATAATTTTGAAATTCAAAATTCTATTTTTTGCAAAAAATATGTTTTTTTTCAACTTTATTTTTATTTCAAAAATATGTCTTTTTTTTAAAAAAATAATAACTATTTTGATAAAAGTAATTTTATTTTTTTTATTATATTTTAAAAATAAATGTGTGCGTACAACACCAGTATCCGTGCGAACACACAAATAACACACTAGGATCGTGTGAATGCACGAATAATCATACTAGAATTCGAGCAAATTCACGGATTATTATATTTTTTATACAATTAAAAAAAATAAAAATAAAAATATTTAAAATAATTTATGATCAAACTAGAGAAAAATGTGTTATTTTTAAATTATTTAAGTTCTTAATATTTTTATTTTGAAATTATTTTTAATTTAAAATACAATATTTTTGAAGGTATGAAACAATTTTAGTAGAATAATTTTGTTTTTCTTTTAAAAATATAATTTTAAAAAAATAAATAATATTTTTTAGTAACACAATTTTGTTTTTCTTATTTATATTTTTATTATTGATCTAAATATTTTTACGTATGAAACTTTACTATTGATTCAGATATTTTTGTAAACGATATCTAAACAAAAAAAAAATTTATATATGAAAAGAAAATTATTATTAATTTAAATATTTTTATATAAGAAAACAAATATTTTTTATGATTTAAAAATGATACATGAAAAAAAATCTATTACTAATTTTTAAATATTTTTATATATAGAAAAATATGTTATTGATTTGAATATTTCCTTTTTTAAATTTCTATTTAAAATAAATATATTAAATAAACAAATATTCGTAACATATTAGAACTCATACGTATCCACCAGTTTGTTATTACATATAAATAACACCTAAGAGTATTTTTTTAGTAAAAAAATAAACACCTATTTCAAGAACACTTGTAACAAAGAAAGGGCATAAATATAAAACACATATCCTCGTCGAATTTTATCCAATCTATGCAAATCTCATCCTCATTTCCTTACCTTTTTCCTCCGACAAAATAACCATGGACGAAACAACATGGTCCCAAAAACTCCACGCCCTAACACACATCCTAACAAACCCCACAACCACGCCATCTCTCCACTCTCAATTCTTCATCGCCACCCAAATCCCATGCTACCTCAACTGGGACTACCCACCATTCCTCTGCTCAAATCCATCTCTTCTCCACAAATGGAAACTCTTATACTTCCTCAAAAGGGTCACCCCAATGGGTGCTCCTAAAACTTCTTGGAGGTCAAAGTGTCCGTTCCAGCAACCTCCGCCATTGATTCTTGCTAAAGGAGTTGAGGAAGCACAATGGGGAAACGAAGAGAGGAAGGGTTACGTTAGGAAGAGGTTTTCTAGGAAACATTTTGGTAGAGATCTTAATCCTCTTTTTGCTATTTTGTTTCCTAATGTTTTGTTGTTGTCGCTTATGATATGGAGTCCGTTTAGTTTTCTTGATTGAAAAACATTGTATCCTTAATTTCTACTTATAATAACATTTGGTTTATTTTAGTTTCGTATTAGCTTTTTGTCTTGCATCAAATGGATCGTTTAATGATTTGAAGTTAAGTATAATCTAGTTGTAAAATTTAATTAAAGATGGTTCTTGTAGAATCATGAACAAAACTACAAAATTAACTAGAAAAGAACTATCTTTATAATTCTTGCAAGGAGAAAAACTTCCAATGTTCATTACAAAGAGTAAAACTTTGTTAAACGGATGGTTAAAGGGAAGAACGTGGGAGTAATTTGACATGATATATTTTAAGCAGCTACAACATTTGGACCTAATAATACAAATTAAGAGAAATAGATTAATTTTTTATTTATTAAATTTGTGTAACTTATTCCAAGAAAGATGATAAATATGATTTAATATCCCATCAAATTTACGTGATTGGTCAATTGATATCAATTTACTAAAAAGAAATTAATGATATGAACATGAAATAACTTAGGTAAGAATATCTATCACTTGAAACTAAGTATTGATACGAGGAACTGCTATAATTTGATCATCATAGACATTATGAATTGGATGACATCACGGTCAATTTTGATGTGTTCATAAAAAAAAAAGTTTACAATGATATGAATGACACTTGAATTGTCGATAAAAAGTGATGTTTACGTTTATGAAAAACAGAGTTTGCAATAATTTAAATGAAAATTATATTGTCATTTAGATGAAAATTATATCGTCAGCATAAAGCGATGTTGATTTTATTTAAAGAAATTCGAATTCAACATGAACCAAATAATTTGTAAACACACGACCAAAAAATCTCG